GTGTTTTAAACAGTTTTGAAAGGGAGAAAGGGGAGAGTTAGGAATAAGTGGGTCTGAGCAATGCTTTGTGTAAACCAAAGCAGCTAGATGGGTTTAATCATTATAAAGGTGATGATGTCTTTTTACTGAAAGTTCTGGGAATCCTAAAAAAAGCTTATGATCACACTGAAGCTGTCTTATCCAAAACCAGGATTGAGCTCATTGATAGGCCACAGCCTGTAGATTCCAAAGATGTTACCATCATTAGGTTTTGGGTCATAGACCCAAAGAGGAAATGCCCTGTATTGTAATAATTATTCTGTAGATGCAAACTTTTTAATCTGCACAGCAACTCTTGGAATCCCCAAAGAGGGGAAGTGCTTTCTTTTCCCCAAGGGATGACCTCTTTCTGTGATCATTATTGCTCTGCAACATGGATTGCTGGCAAACATTTATACTGTCTATGGGGAAGGAGTCTGGTGGGTCACATATCTCTCCTCAGGTAACTCTTTCTCAGCCTCCCTTTCCTTTTAATAACTTCATACTGAATGTAACTGACCTGAAATTTATTTTTCCTGTTACAAACAAATGCATTCTCATCTTTTCCCTGTAAGTTTTATGATTCTGATTTTAGTGTTTTCTCTTTCTGAAATGGTTGGCACTGTCCTCTAGTTTGTGTGTGTGTATCTGGTAAATTTTTGCTTAAAGGTGTCTGTGATAAATCATCTAACAATGATGAAATGCCTTCAGGAGTTTATAGGTGGTTTACATTTCCTGAGGATATTTTCATGTGTGTCTCTTCTCCCAAGTAGTTAGCGATAGGATGAGAGGAAATGGGCTCAAGCTGCGCCAGGGGAGGTTTAGGTTGGATATTAGGAAAAATTTCTTCACGGAAAGGGTGGTCAAGCATTGGAACAGGCTGCCCAGAGAGGTGGTGGAGTCACCATCCCTGGAGGCATTCAAAAAACAGGTAGATGTGGCACTTTGGGACATGGTTTAGTCTAGTCTACCCTTAATTGGTTTAGTGTGGACTTGGTAGTGTAGGTTAATGGTTGGACTGGATGATCTTAAAGGTCTTTTCCAACCTAAACGATTCTATGATTCTAAGATTTGAAGAGATCTAGGGTGGTACGGTGGGACTTTTCTTCATCTTCTTTCAAAAGGGAAGCCATTCTTTGGCCTCATGCAAAAATGTCCAAAAGTGATTTTTCTATTTCAACATCAGTTTATCTGATTGTCATTCTCCTCCCCCTGTCCCAGCTGTCTTCATCTGTGTGTGTGTGCGCTATGTTTTGAGAGCATCATTGTTGTGTTTCGGGAAAGGCTCTTTGTAGCTTGCCTGAAAGTGCAGAGAGGGAGGAGTGGAGAGGAGCATGTTATTCCAGAGTTTTAGGTGGTACCTTACTCATTTTTTGGCACAAAAGGACCTCTTGTATATTCTAGCTCTCCAATGATGTCTTAATCCTCTGAAAGTGACTTGCCCTCTTGGAGGAGCAGATTATAAGGAGCGAGTTCATTTCATGTGGTGTTTCTGTATGTATAGCTATATATTACCTACTTAAATACATGCACAAGCATACCTGGAAACTCCCCCCTTGCAGTTTTCTTTTAGCAGATATTTGAAGTGTACAGTTGTCCAGGTAACTACAGCACAGATTTCCTTATCACATAGTCTTCATGCCTCTCATTTTTCCTGTTCTGCTCCATGATCCCCAGTAAACCTGTTATTTTCTATAAATCTCTGTTCCTCATTATCATGTCCACAAAGTGGTGGGGAATTCCCTGGAGGTGCAGCTGCTTTGAACTGCAAGTGAAAAAGCTAAAGAGAAAGTCATGTAGCAGGGTAAGTTTATGAGGTCTTATTATTAAGGAGCAGTAACCTTAAGGCAATATGAGTTCTCAGTTGTGAGTCAACGTGGTAATAATTCAAGGCAGTTTAGATAAGGCTGTTCTGTAATCTCTCTTCATATCAGTGAATTGAAGCCCACATTATATTAAGAGTGCATTTGCTAGTTAAAAGTAAAAGTACTGTGACTGTCATTTACTGTTCTTTTTATGTATTTTTTCCTGTAAATAAGAAAATAAGGCTATTTTAAATGTAGTTAGAAACCTAAAATTGCTGAATTTTTTTTGAGGCGTTCCACTTTAAGAACTTCGTATTTATTTATTTGTATTAATATAAATAGGTCCAACTTGGAGGTTGGCTCTGCTGTAATCAGGAGTTTGGACCAGATGACCTCCAGAAGACACGCTTTGAGTGGGGAAGGCTATATGCACATACATATTAGTATTTGAGACTTGTATTTATCTGGCTTTTAATTAATATTCTGTATAGAAAGAAGTAAGCAAGGAGGACTAGATTTTTTTTCCTGTCTCTAATTTCATGTTTTTGTGATTATGTATTTAAAATAGTTTTGTTTACTTAAATGAGTTAAACTAGTTATCTCTAGGATACCAACATACACAAAATAGAAATCCTAAAATATGTAGCAGTATTTTGTTATCTAAAAAAGAGATGATCTCCAGTGTTGTGAGCACAGATTTAAAATATGAGCTAATATGAGATTATATCACAATGCATTCTTGTAATATTTGATACTCTGTTTTTACACATAAGTTATGCATGCTTATCAAAGGGCAGATATGCTCTGTTTAGAAAGAAATTGTTACCAGATTATCAACATATAATGAAAAGAAACCCATTTATTTCATTTGAAGATGTAAATGCCTGCCCCATTCTTAAAGGAAGACTGTAATGCAATTCAGCAAATCACTCGTATTTATTAGCACTAGGTTAATCAGTACATTCTTTACATCCAAAACTAGTTATGTTTTTGTATTGCTCAACACTGCTTCTGCTGCATAGTCTTGAGTCAGTGTGACAAGTCCCAATGCCAAAATTTTCCAGTTCATGGACAGAAGTAGAGGAGTGCATTGCAAGTATCATGCTTTGCTCTGTCTTCTTGCCATTAGTTTTAACATTTATTCCCCTTTTGTCTTAGTAACGCAGATAATCTCTTTGCAAGCAACCACTTAGGGAACAATGCAGCAGATTTTTTTAAAGGTTTGTATGCATTGTCAGTGGAAGATGCTGGACTAAGTAACTTTGCAGAGTGCAGTTTCTTACCAGTATAGATTTGAGATATGTGGTCTTTTAGGGTTTTTTTTCTTATTTTAAAAAAGTTGATTTTAGTTCAAAATGCTTTATGGCATTGCTGTATAGGATGTCTTCCTGAGTAGTAGTGGAGAATTGGAGACTAGGGTTATTGGCTTTGGTTTTTATTTACACACCTTTTTTCCAAGCAAGGGAGTAGAACATGCCTGATTCTGTACACATTGTTGAAAGACATCTGGTTTGTGTCTGATATGCTAGAGCAATTGTTCAAAAATAGATTATAAAGAGAATATGAGCCCTGTAATGTTAGGCTATGTTAGTTGCCTTTTTGAGTTACCTTTCGCATAAATACTAGTTATGAAAGGTGAGAGCTGTCAAGGGCTGAACTGATGTGTTCACCTGAGTTTTAAGAAGCTATTCAAACATTTCCATGGGCATAAACATTGATGGAGTGTATCTTCTATTTGCACATCTGCAGATTGGGTTTTTTTCTGTTGTTTTTTGAAAACCTCTCACTTTTCTCTTAAGTGAATCTATCCATTTTCAAATCTACAATCAGTGCCTCTTAGACAGTAGCTGGATGAAAAAAATTCAGCGTCTGGCAGTTAGTTGTTAAATAAACTAAGTAATTTAATACAACAATGAATTAAGACCAGTTCAGTCTCCTTAACAAGTAATTTACTGTATTATGTGTGCCATAGTCTCTATCATTACTTTGATTTTTTTTGATATATGGACCATTGTGGAATATTCACAATAGTGTTCGAGTTAAGGACATTATTGTGCTTCCCGTGAAAGATAATTTGTACTTGGCAAAGCATGTACCAAGCCATCCAAACTGATTAGGCAGAATAAAGTAAGTAACATGATAAGATTATTTACACTGTTTTCTTCTTCCTGTTATTTACTTGTATGCTCCAGTCTATGTTTTAATAGGTTCAGAATAACTTTTGCCAGCCATAACCTTTGTCTAGGTTAATAGATGGAAAATGGAAGGGCACTAACCAAAGATTCTGAAATACTGTAATGAAAAGGAGATGAGAAGATTGTTTATGCTTTCTCACACACAGAAGATGACTTATTTGTGATTTGTAGGATGTAATCCCTGAATTATATATACCAGCTAATTTGTACAAGGAAGGTTATTTCTTGTGCCTCAAAGCTTAGTATAACAGGTGAGAGGGTGTTGCTGTATTTTGAGGAGTTTTTTTTACTTAGAGAAAATGCTAAGTGTAATACCTGGGCTTTTTATTGACATAATTGTATTTTAGAAAGACTTTTAATTTTTGCTTTAAATACTTTTAGAAGACATTATTCCACCACCTTTAAAAATTGAACAGCCATATACTTTGCAGAAAAAGCAAATAAGAGAGCGAGATTATTTTTTTCTTTTTTAATGTGGTACTGTAATTTTTTTTGGTTTTTTTAGAATTTCTTTTGGTCCTAGTTTCATTGTTTGTGCTTATATAGCAATTTTCATGTAG